GTATTATATATATATATATATATATATATATATATTACGATCAATTCAAAAAGAAAAATAATCAATCTAGACTTGGACTATTTATTAAAGAAGTAGAGTCTTGTGAAAAGAATGTTTTAGTCAAGTAGAGAGTAGAATTTTTTTTTAGACAATTGATTACACCATTGAAACTTACCAAAAACGTCAATAATAAACACAAATATGGACTTGAAAATGAGTTGAATAATACAATTTTGTACAAAGTGGTCCCATACTTAGATGATTATGACAATTAAGAATCAAATAATAATAATACAAACATATAATTAATAATGGAAAAAACGTTTATATCAACTTCAATAACAATTACATATACAAATAGAGTCTAAGAACGGCGAATCAAATACACGAACCTTTAGTTCTATCCTTATGAAATAATGAAGTTCGACTACAATATACAAATTCGATACTCAAAAAAAAAAAACTTTATAAAATCAGAAGTATGAGTCCATTTTAGCTTATCGAAAATACCACATATGACAGTGAAATTTCATTGAAAAAATAATAGTGATTGTGAAAAAAAGGAGAAAATTCTAAGATAATAATTAATTTAATTTAAAAATATAAATAAAATATTATTTTTTAATTTTTCATGTCCGCCCTGTAATAGAGTCCACTATTTCGAATTTGCATCAAATAAAACCTTAAATTTTTTTCTATACTCAAATTTAATCTCTAAAACTCTAATTAAAATAGAAAACGACTTCATTCACCGAATCATATCGACGATAAAATAAAACATTATCATGAAAAGGGGTGTGGTTGAAAGAACTCTAAAAAAAAACATTTAAAAGCATCTATACAACTCAGACAAAAAAACAAACAAAAAAAAATTGAAAAAAAGACAAAAAAATAATAATAAAATTACATGGCATAGCAACACGTGAATAAGAAAAAACAGATAGCAGTAACGGCTAAAGGACGATAATTCCTAGGAAAAAAATGACTGAAAAATTCAGATTTTAAAAAAAATAAAATAAAAATTCATTTGTACAATCATAATTATTTTCTATTATTTTTCCATTTAAATTTATGTTTTCACACAATTTAACTTGACAAAAAATTTAAGAAGCAATTAAACAAAACCATTCAATGGGAGAATCGTCTGATAAAACATGATTTTCCCACGTTATTTCTACAATAACCAACACTAAAAAAAATACGCGATGAAAAATTTGGTGAAATAGCGAGAAATTCTCTATTTTTTTTTGAAAAAAGGGGTAATGAAAAATATGAATATAAATTGAGATAAAAATAATAATAATAATAATAATACTTTAGTAGTAGTACAAGCAAATAAAAAGATCCAAAGACAAAAACAAAACCTATTAGAAAAAAGACAAAAAGGTAAAATAAAAAAAATAAATTGATAGTCCAAAAAGAATATGTAACTGTTGGAAAAGCTGGAAATAACTTTTTTCATTAATTAAAAGTATTTTTTTTTAAAAAACTTTTATCACTTTTGGGGAATCTAAAAGCCCTAAAATCAAAGAAGATAGTCAATAGCTATATATTTTCACTTGAGCTATTATAATCCTCATCATTATTAGTATCAAAATTGGGTGTGTAGCCATAATTCAAAAGAAAAAAAAATTTAACCTCGATCGTAATATTTTTCACTAACAATTTAAACTTTTAAGCGAAATGATCGTATGTATCACAAAATTGATTTTAGTAGCACAAATCGTAAGTATACAAAACAAACAGGAATCAAGAAACCCTTTTTTTACTATTAGAAATTTGCGATTTTTTTCGTATAAATTCCTATCACATTTCGCACGATTTTTGTGATAACGTATTCTTGAACTCTATCTACCGTACGATTTAATTTTTCAGATGAAATGACTAATATATACACAAACTTTGAGAAAGAGAGGTACCACAATCACATGATTGTTAAGTAGAACCAAAATAGATATCCATAAATTAATTTATTTTTTTAAAAAAACTTATATTATTCATATTCATCATATTAATAAATTAAAACTTTTAAACGAGACAGTTAATACTATATCACATGATTGTTTATTAGTACCAAAATGGGGGTAAAAAAAACCTCATTTTTTATCTATATATATATATATATATATATATATATATATATATATA